CTTCGTCGCCCCAGAACCTGGTGAACGCGGCGGCGCGAGAGGCGGCCCTCCGCACAACGGCTCTGGTGTTTTCACGAATTTGATGTGCTCAGACTCGGGGGTCGTCTGCAAGCTCCGGGAATGGCAAAGGGCGGGTATCGTTCCCGGGCAAGCCTCGGTGTACATGGCGGGTTGTGAGGAGTCCAAGGCGGAGTTTGTCGAGGCGGTTGGTGGTGCCGATCTCCCCGATGTACATCCACGGGTTGGGGAAGTACAGCGACAAGATGCTCTGTTCGAGCTTGCGAGGGCGAGGCAGCATCGGGGTCCGTTTCACGTCCCAGCGCGGGGCCGCAGGGATGTAGAAGATGAAGCGAGTGAGAGGGGTTTGCGCAGGGAGCGGCTCCGGCATCACGACTCGCTGGCGGGGGGCGCGGCTGCCGAAAGACACAGTGAAGTAGCGGCTGAGGGATGTTTGGTGCGACATATTGGGTGAATGGTAAGTCTACACACCTGCTTGCCTCCCTTTTAAAGCGGCCCAGCGATTCCACCTTGAACAATGGCCTCGCCCCGCATTCCTATTACAGTCAATGCCCAACGCGATCGCGGGCCACCTTCACTTATTAGGAAATCTAAAATGACATTGTTAGCGCGTGCCCAACCTCGAAGCCACACGTACCAATCCAGGAGCGGCGGCATTACGCGGTTTGATTGGTTTTGATTCTAGCATGCAATCCTGTGTGAAGTACTCTGTATGTATGTATACATATGTATGTACTTGGCGGACGAGCAAAATTACTATATCGAGCGTCGGGAGGTTTGAAAGTTAAACTAGGTCAGAACGCGTCGTCTCCGGAGTCCCACAGCGCATCGCCCTCACCACCCTCTTCGTCGCCGCCTCTATGGTTATCCGCCCGTTCCACTGCTGCTAAGATTTGAAGCAACGCAGCGTCCTCCGGCTCCTCCTCATCGTCGTCTGACCAACTCAAATCTTCCGGCTCCTCCCCATCACCCCAAGACGCCGTGACATTCGAGATCTCGCAACCAAGAAGCTCTTCCTTCGTTGGTCCCCACTCGACCAAACTGTCGTCGACCGCGAGGCGTCCTGTCGATTTTCTCCACAAGACGCAAAGCTGCAAGAGCTCTTCGCGTCTCAGCTCGAGTTGATACCGGACTGGAGCTTGGGTGGTTGTCAGTTGGAGGTACAGTCTCACAGAGACAGACGGCATCGGCGTACCTTCTTCACTGAGTGAAATCGCTTCACGCACGGTCTTCCACTCCCTGGAAAACCATGTTTGCAGGTGCCCCCGCTCCCGTAGCAACCGTGGGGCCTCTTCTTCACATCGATCCTTCGTTAAAAGCGCGCGGATGCCCGAGCGAACGTTGTTCGTTGCTGAGCCACAGTGGTGGGGTCGAATCCTCCTCATCATCCAAGCCCAAATCCTGCCAGATCACGTCGTCGACGTCGAGCTGGTAGATGCCCTTGGCAGGGACAGGAACGGGGGGTACGGCACCCTTCGGGGCTTGCTTGGCGGCGATGAGGGTGCGTATCTTCTCGCATAGCTTGTTGTATGCGGCGACCAGTTTGTTGATGCTGGGCTCACGTCGCTTTATTGCAGCGCTTGCGTGCTCGTTTCGTTGATTCTCTTGAGTGAAACAGTTAGTCATTTCGCGACTATGCGCACTGCCGACGTACCGCTTGTCGTACGCCGCACTGAGCGCTCAATGGGATCCAGCTCGAACTTGCGGTCCCGCAGTTTGGAGCGCAAACGCTCCTTCAAGGCCTTCGCATTCATCCTCGCCGTGTAGTATTCGCCGTGTGCGAGCTTGCGCAGTACAGGTGGTATCGTTAACCCCCAGCTGGCGCTCGAGGCGTGCGGTCTTCTCCTTCTCCTTCTGCCATGCTTGTCGACTATCTTCGAGGTTCATCTCGGCGTATAAGCGCACGCTTGCCGAGTTCGTCGGGTCCTGGAGCGCCTCCTCCAAGTTCGTCACCCGTGTGAAGAGCTGGTCGGACTTGCTGCGCGATTCGAGGATCCGTTCGATAGCGGCTACCCCCTGAGTCTTGGATCGCCCTAGTGAATAGTTAGTCGAAACCCTTCGTATGCTGAGCGTGCCATACGTACGTGCCAACGGTTTCGTTTGAGTTGCCACCTGTTTCGCCACTCTTCTCGTAGCACGGCCTCGGGAATCCCACATGCCCGCAGCTCCGCGACCGCCTCTCGCAATTTGCCTTCGCAGTGGGCTGTCCGCCGGAGGATCCAGGACGCTAAACGTCCAAGGCTCATCTTGTCCGCGTGCTCGATTTGACTGTCGATCGTATAAAGGCGAAGATGGTACTACAGACTTTATCAGTTAGGTTCCCTCAGTCAGATGAGCGACAACTCACCCCAGTGACTCGGAGGTAGGCGATTAGGGAGCTAATGGAATGCCAAAAGCGTTCGCATCCTTCACCGTTTGTGTGGCCAAAGCCGCAGCACTTGAGGGGGTGGTAGATGAGTTGACACGGCCATCGGTGACCGAACGCGTGGAAGACGGAGACCGCAAAGAGAATGCGGTCCATGTATCGGTCGAGGAATCCAAACTTGACGCATGATCGATGTAATTGACATGCGATATCGTATAGAACGCCAACCCGAATGTCTGCGGGTAGATGTTGGAACAACGTCTCCAGAAGCACCAGTACATAGTACTGTTTCTCCCCGGCAGTGCGCATATTGACGAGCCACAGGACCCGGTCGTGTCGACATAGCAGGCCCATGATTCCGGTGTCGTCGAAGAATTTGGTGCTGGCCTTCTCGCGTTTTTCATCAGCGGCTTTGAAGGAAGACTCGCAGTCGTTTAAGACGGAGCGAGGGACGCGGATGGCGACGTGTTCGTAGTCGTCGTCGTCGGAGTCGTCGGAGCGAACCCGCTTTGTTGGCTTTGAGCGCGCCTTTGGCGGTCTCACTTCCTCAACGTGGGCGCCCATCTGCTCAGCTGTTGGCTCCGGCACGAACACTGAGTGGGGGTGCTTCCGAGGGGGATCGCGGGCGCCCTTGCGCCTTCGCTTCTGCGTGAAGCACGCGTCTGCACAGACGTGAATATCGACGGGGTGAGTGGGGTCATGTTTGAGCCCGCCAAAGCACGCGGGACAGCGGCTGATGAGATAGTCGCTGGGCCGCGTTCGGGGGGGAGGCTCTGGGAAGGGGTTAGCGACAGGTACATCGCTGTCGCTGTCGCTGTCGCCAGCAGTAGCTGCTCTTCGGCGCTTCTTGGGACGGGAGGTGTTTGGGGGGATTGGCCGCCGACCGGTAGGTGTCGAGGGCGGCGGAGTGGCCGGCGGCGTCGACGCGGTGGAAGGAGTCGGTGTGGATGCACGGGAAGGGGGTACATCCTCCGCAGATGGTTCGTCGACACCGTCGAGGATCATGGTGCGCACTACATCAAGGGCGGCGTCGATCTTCGCTCTTGTCGCGTGTTGGAGGCTCGTATACCACTCCAGTGTGTTACCGAAGCGCACGCAGAGTGTATCCTGGTCAATATATCAGTATCGATGGGTCGAGCAGCGGTCAACGTTAGGAAACATACCTTCGTAGTCAACTTGTATCCACGACTGGAAAGAAACACCTCCATGGTATTGCAAAAGGCCGTATTATTGGGCAGCATGTTCACAAAGAGTCGCATTGCGAAGTCCAGGACGTTGAGGTCCACTGCAAGGCTGGGGTACAGCGGGGAGCACGGGAAAAGCCCGGCTTTCAGAAGCAAAGTTGGCATGGGAGAGCAGGTGCACACCGACAGGCGTTTATGGTCGATAACTGGTGGCGCGTCAATAAAAGAAACTGCAAGTTAGACATTCATCCACTTACCATTCATGCGGACGATAGCTATGTAGAGGGTGCGCTTGTTGCAGGCGCAAGGCGGGCTGTCTTCGAGAACGAGTCCCGAGGTGTTACGGAGCGACTTCGTTTCGTGCATCAATTCGATGAAGTTGGGTACCAGCTTCGGGATGACTTTGTGCGTCCATCGATGCCACTGATTCGTTTTCTTGACACTGGCGGGGGGAACGGGGGTGTGCTGAGAAGACAAAAGGTCCCCGCCGACTATGTCGTCGGTGGGGATGCTGATATGAGGGTATTGGGGATCGCGTGCGGGTGTCGATGGCCCGTCCGCACGCAGTGGATCCCGCCACCCCACCTGGCCCAGTGGTGGTCGCTGCAGGCGCTGGGTGAGGGTTTGGCCGTTGGCGTAATAAACGATGGCTTGCGGTTTCGCTGGGCTGCTTTTCGACAACAGCGTTGGTCGGCGCACTTCGACTAGAGGCGGGCCTCGAGGTCCAGCGCGCAGAGGGCTTGAGTTCTTCACCTCGGCAACGTCCTTCTGGGTCCAACGCATAATCTACGTCTGCAGGCCGTCGTCTGGTAAGTTATTAGATTAGATGACACGACCTTGCCACTCACCGCCTTCTTTTGGCATTCTTTGGTTCTCACGCCCGGCGGTATCTCCATTCCGTGATTCATTGTGGGCCCTGCCTTTGTTCCACCCCGCCCATTTCTTTGTATCAATACATTTTTGGTATCGGAGGTCACTGAAGGTATCGTATGGTAAAATTGTCTTTGACGAACGTAGGTCGTTGTAAGTAAGTAAAGTACGGTAAGTAAAGTACAGTAAAGCAATGGCACGGCACTCGTTGGGCAGTTCCAGGGTCGGACACGCCTACTAGAGTGGCGCGTGCGCATTGCGCTGGCACCCACGCGCACGGCGTCTTGCGCGGCCCAGCGACTCGCCACCCACTCAAAAAAAACGCCGCGCCGAGCAGAGAGCGCACGCACATCGTCTTGCACAGCCCATGCGACGCCCAGCCACCCACCACCAGGAATATTACTATATTCGACCTTGAGGTGGTGGTGGTTACAGATCAAGAGCAAAATAGGCGCCCGGAACAAACAACAACAGTGATGTTGCGCAAGTCTCGGGGGCCGGTCCGACCATACATCTAATCTTATCGCTTCTCTCATTGAAAAGATGGAGAGATACAAAAAAACAGTCCCATGCCGGATTCGAACCAGGCCAACACCGGGACAAGAGTCCCAAGAAGTGACACATTAACCGGCAGCACAACCACTGTGCAAATGGGACGTTCCGGTTACGGTGTCCTAATAGTCCTGAATACAGGTCCCCGTCCCACTAGGGCTATTTTTTAAAAAAAATATGCGCTCCATTGCGCCAATCTATTTACTATATAGTCAGGTCGTCAGTAAGTCTAATTACGCGCGGTGTGCGCTAATACAAATTATTTACAAGCTATCTAAATAGTGTGATCATGATAGAAGGTCGTACAGGGAAAAGCGTTGTCGGTCGTGTCGATGTGAATGTTGCGCGCCATGCACAGACTAGAGTAATGATAGAATTTTAAAGCCCCGCTCTCCAATTCCACCTCTACGATGCCGCTGCCGTGGGTGTGCTCTACGTGTGGCCGGGTCTGCGCGTAGCACCCCTTCGCGACAATATCCCCGAGGATGTCCGGCCCAACAATGACGACGCGCTCTTTGAAGGCGTCGATCCTCGTCGCCCCGTCGTCGTCGAACCGCCGGGGCTTGATACACATCGGCCCGATACCGTGCGGGACACTGAAACCAAAGACTTGTACCTTTTTCTTGTCGAGGCTTTTGGGGTCAATGGCGTCTGCGAGCAGGAGGTAGCCAGCTTTCCCTTCGAGGGCTCGGATCTTAGCGCTCGTTTTGAAAATGCGATGGGTCTGGAGCGCAACGCTATCCACACCCTCGAGCACGACATCCACACGCTTGCCCTTCAAGGCGGGGATGCACATCCATTCACCCGTGTCTTCACCTAAAATCAGTGTGAGTATCTGGTCGTGCTGTGGGAGGAGGAACTTGCCTGCCAGCTTCTGTTCTGCGGCAGGCCACAACGGTTCGTTAGTGGGAGGTGGAGACGGCGTGCGAGGAGGTGGCGACGGTGTACTGGAAAGTGGCAGCGGTGTAAACGCGCGAGGCGCGCGAGGGCGCGGGACGGCCAGAACCGGACTTGTGCTCGGCGCAGATGGGAGGTGATAAGCACGAGTTAAAGGAACCGGTTTTCTAGACAGCGGTTAGTTAGAAAAGAACAAAACCAATACAACGACGTACCGGCTCAAGTCGTGGCGGCGCATCACCAGATTTTCGACGGGTATGTCTTGAATCATCGAACCTGTATGCGTGCGGATGGAAACCAGGATTCCCCGCGAGTCCCACCAGCGGCGCCCATAGACGTCCTTGTCCGGATTTGCAGACGTCCAAGCCTTCATACGTCGTGCCCGGGCTTCGCTGTCGTGATCCCCGACTACCGTGCCCCATGTTCCTTTGTCGGGGTGTTTCCCGATGACCTCCACCTCCCTTCCTTCGTATCGTTTGCCGGTGTTCATCAACCGGCGTGCGCGGGCATCGGCTTCGCGGTCGCGCTCCTGGATCCCCTTGATCGTCAGTGGATGAGTGAGCTTCTCGATATATGTGACGAGGTCCTCGCGATATCTCTTCAGATTTGCCCGTTCACGTTCATCGCCCTTTACCTCGTCGCCCTTTACCTCAGCGAGATACTCGGCAAGACGCCCACTTGCGACTCGAAGCCTTGACTGAATTTTCTCAAGATTGACTGGTTCGGATTCGGCGAGTGGATGAGTCGGGGGATTGATTTCGCTCCGGGTGGTGTACTGATACGTCGAATAATCTGAAAACGCAGCGTTATCCTCGAGGATAACAAATTCGACGTCCGATTGCCGAACTAGGAACTTGGAACACGGTATTAGTTGGTGACTTGAAGAACAAGGAAAAGAGAAACAACTCACGACGTGTTCTTGGCCTGACCGTTCGTGATCATCGAATATCTCGAGTACGCCGCCGGGGTGAATGTGAACGATGAAACCCCTGCGACCAGACAAATCCCCGTAGACCACGCGAAATCCCCGGGCAGAAAGTGGCGGACAGTATCGGAAGTGGGGATGTTGAAGCGCCAGCCACCCGTCAACGTGTTTTGCTGGAAATGCCCGGGATCCACGTTTCCGACAGTATCCTCAGGCAGCTCTACGGTGAGCGTCGGGCCCGAGATTTCGACGACACGCCCAATCTTGTCGATGAACCAGCTCCGCCCGTATTTGACCTGTACCCGATCAAGGAGGTGTACAGTAGGGCCTGGGTCCAAAATATGGCGTGCTACAGTTGTTAATGCAAACATCTCCCCGGGAGTCTTCTGGGTGTCGGGGATGGTGCCGAAGTATTGCGTCAGCTTGACCCAATAGCGGAAGGTGCCACCGACGATTTTCTTGACGATGCGCCCGATCCACCCCTGCATTCCTCGCCGTTTGCCCGCAGGACAGACGACACGGTCACCCTCCATGAGACCGAAACCGGTATCGCCCCAGAACCTGGCGCCCTGCAGGTAGTGCAGGCTGGTTCTTTGAAACGGGGCGAGTTCGTCGCGCGTTGGGTGCAGGATGGGGTGATCCTTGCGCATGAGGGGTTGGGAGAAGGAAATCTTGGTGCAGACGTCGGTACGCAGTTTGCCAGGGGGAGGCATCGCAATGTTGTCCGCATCGTTGTCCGGGTCGACCGGCGCTGTGGAGACAAGAGGGTCGTGCTGCGGGTCCACTGGCGGGGTGGCGAGAAGAACGGGTTTTTCCACCGACGCTGGGCCAACGAGAAGACGTTTGTCCATGGCAAGGTCCGGGTCGGCGAAAAGGCGTTTGTCCTGTTCGTCATCCAGGTTCACCGCCGGTTTGTCCCCGTCATGGTCCGGGCCCTGCGGCGCCGTAGCGACGAGCACACGTTGAGGAGTGACCACGTACGCCAACGCGCCGCGATTTGGAGCCCTGGTGAGCCGAATCCAGTCGCTGACCAGGACAGTCGCATTTTCTCCGGATTCTGCGACACCGGTGATATATGCGACTATCTCGTCGGGCTCGACCGTCTCGCCCGAGCTTCTGTGCCCGCGCTCTCGCTTGGCGTCGCGTGCATATTTCCCCGCTTCCTTTTCATAGCGTGCGACGAGCTGCTGAATCTTCTCGTCGCTAGCCTCATGGAGGTCGTCGTCGCTATCATCGTCGAAAATGGGATGAGCGTTGGGCAGGCCGTCCTCGGGCACATCGTCGTCGATGAAGCCTGTTACACTGATTCCTGAGTAGGAATCTAGGCGAGGTATGCGCGACTCACCGGCGTCGGATAAGGTCTCTTCGTCGTCTTCATCCTCTTCTGGGATATCCTCGTCCGAGTCACCCGCCGCGGTGTCGAAAAATTGTAGAACTGCGCGTTTGGTGCTGCTGGTGGCGGCAGCGGGGCTCCCGGGAGGTGAATCTACGCGTCTTCGTTTGGGAGGCGGGGAGTCGGGCGCGGGCGAAGGGGAGCGAGGCTTGTAGATCATAAGTAAGTTAAGTCATATGTGAGTGAAAGTGAAGCACATACCGCCATAGGGCGCGACAACGACGATGGCGGGTAGGAGGTCGAGTCGTCCATGAATGGGGTGGGGCCCCGGGAGTGGGGCAGAAAGAGAGTCTGAAGAGCAAGTTAGTTATGTTATCGGGTATGTAGATGCATCACCGACCTGCGACGAAGCGAATGGCGGGTAGGGTGTCGAGTCCCGCAACAAAGGTGGGCCGTGGTATGCGAAAGGAGTTACGCTGCGGGACCCGGGGAGAAAGAGCGGCGTGTGTTGGCGGAGCTGAGACGGGGCGGTGACGGGATCGGTGATAAGCCGTGTAATCAAGTACACCTGAATTTGCGCATTTTACGCATTTCCAGCTGTCAAGCATGTGTGCTACATACCTAAGAGGCTTTCGGGAGCTCCGAACGAGTAGCCTAACAAGTCTAATAGCACTAGGGAATGAACCGGGAGGATCTATAGCGGTACCTCCACAAATGGGGCCAATATATGTCTTACTCGAGTAAGGAACTAGACTATCGTGGCAGAGAAACTAGGTTATATAAAGCCTAAGGCTGCTTGCTGGGACACTTACCAAGGAGATGGGAAGGAAACTATCATACTTGCACAGTGGCGGAACCAAGTCCTTCATAAAAGATTGACTAGACTAAGATTGTCCGTGTTTGACACAAAGGACTAGCACGTTCAGGCCACATGATGGGAATGGCTACTGAGAGAAGGCAGATACTGCCAAGACGGATAGCATCCAAGAATAGAACCGGCAATTCCGGATCTAGGCAACCAGCATCACTATAGAGATCGCGATAATCCTTAAATCGGATAAGGCATCCTAGGTTCCTAATCGAACCAGGGATAGACGGGTTGAGCTAACCTATGACTATGGGGTACCGTATTGAAGCTACGATGGCAGGCTAGACGAAGAAGACCCTTCCGGGCTCGGGACATAGAGCCACAGACGAAGAAGACCTTACTTGAGCAAGGCATCAGTTGCCAAGAAGAGCTCCTTGATGGATCAAACCAACGACCGTGTGCAGCTGTCAGAGCACGCCTTTACTGGCCAATCAAGAACGAGGGACGCCGTCGGAGACAGAAGGCCGTACGAGTCATATTAGAGAGCAAGTAGCGTAAACCAAGTAGTGTAAGCAGGTTGAGAGTAGTATAAATAAGGGGCAGAAAGGGCAGGAACGGGAGCGCATATCCCTTGGAGGCAGGCACCAGAGTTGGTTGTCCTTGTTTGTTCCACTAGATTTGAGTAGCTCGGGCTTAGCCCACAGACACCTAGCACCAGAAATAGATTTGGATTTGGATCAGACCTTAAAAATATAAGAAACCTCGAGAACTGGGTCGAAAACCCTTTGAATAAGGCCGAAAGCCGACATCAGTACTGAGCCGAAAGCTCTTTTAAGGCCGAAAGCCGTCAGAACCAGTCTCAGTTGAATCATATTGAGTCGAAAGCTCTCTTAAGGCCGAAAGCCGAACATCTGTACTGAGCCGAAAGCTCTTTTAAGGCCGAAAGCCATCCAAAAACCTTGGTGTATAACCACAAACCCGTCTATTAGACACCCAAACCCGACCTTGTGTCATTAAACTCTATAAACATCGTACATTGTACCGCATTAGTCTTGAAATAAGACCAGAACTACCCAGACAATATCCAAGAACCTTACTCAAATAAGACACCTTAATTGAGTAGCGATCTTAGCAAGTACCCC